GCGGGTGTAGGAGGAGCCCGCGTCCCCCTCCCACCCCACGCAATCGTGGCAGCGTCCAGATCGGACACCGCGTCAAGGAGGAGTCGCCATCCTCACAACACAAACATGGCAGCATCATCCCGATTGGGCATTGCGCGAAGGAGCATCCGGCCACGCTATCGGCACCTCGCTGCTATGACAGTATTTACGGGCCTAGGTCGTCGCCCCACCTCAACGGCCGCAGGGAGTTCGTCAAGGATGAGCTGTCGCCCGTGATAACCAAGGCGTGAGGCCGCATCTTACACTGCCTCATAGGCGGTCCCTCTGGCTCGAGGACCGTCGTGTCCGGGGTGGAACAAGAAGCGAGGCAACAAGCGTGCTATGAGTGGTGCAACGCCGCCAGGCGCTCCGCGTTCACCAAGTCGTACGCGGCACAGAATGGGTCCGCAACGGCCCAGACCTCGCCGCGCCTGGTCCCTCGACCGATCCATCACCACCAGTGAGACGCTCGCTAGGCATCACTACCGCCTTGACGGCAAGCTCGCCAAGATTGACGAGGAGTGGTCGCTTAGCGACTCCTCCGCGTACGCCGGCAGGGGCAAGGACGTCTCCATGGCTCCGAGTGCGCCGTCAGCATTGGTCGCGGCGGCCCTCCATGACATGCATGAGGAAGCGGAGCGGCTCCTCCGTGAGGGCCAGGCTGTCGCCGGCCACCGGCGCCGTACCGCAGCTGGAGGGATGACGACAATGACATGGACGGGGACGGCGATGCGGTCGGGCAAGGTGGCCACACGTACGAGGTGGTCGTCCGGTACAAGTTATAGTTTTTTTTAGTTTTCAGTTAAACAACCGAAACAACGGTCACATATGTAAATTATCTCGAACTTGAATGAAATCTGCCATGTGTGGTTAAATTTGTCCAGTTATTTTAAGTCATGTGTGAAATGTTTACGAATAACTTAGAATGGTCGCCTCCCGCTTGCGTGTCCGCCGGTTTATGAATGATCTAAACACTCTTATATTTCTTAACAGAGGGAGTATCAATAAAGTAAGATAGTTCGAACTTGAGGAAGTTCTGAGGCTGGTCGTAATGGGAGTATCATAAGTGGTATCATGCATGTCAACTAGATTTTTTAGATGATGTGGCACACAATTAAATAAGAAAAGAGAGGGTGTAGTATCATATCATGATACCGTATTATATTAAATGTTGTATTACTTTACGTCATGCATGGCGATTAATAAGGCAACCTAAGATACTAAGTTATGATACTATGCATTATGGAGGTAGTATCATATACTAGTATCATATGTATGATACTAGTATATGATACTCCCCGTTACAACCAGCCTGAAAGCTTTATACTTGCAAACGGATAAGGTAATTTTGTAATCGAAAGCAACGATAACTATTGTAATTTTTTATGGGGAAAAGAGACAAGTATTATGTTCCCAAGGTCTCGAGACCTTTCGAGCATGTACGCTTGGAACCCTCAAACGTCAAATCTGACAAGCCAGACACTGTACTGGCAGAAAAGAAAACAAAAGGAGCCACCCAACCGAATCCTCCATTTTGTTTTCATATGATCGGGCTGTGCATAAATTCCCATATGCAAACCAAATATGAAAAGCATACGGGGATGGCCGGACATGTCCGGGCAGTCCTCAAGATAGAATGCGGACCACATTGAACCATGTTTTCTCTTTCTCTATTAATTCCCATCAATTACATGCATTTGACCGAACATTTTGGGGAGGACGCAGGGGACTTGGTTGCATGCTTGCATAATGGAAGGGTCAAAACAAACGCATGACCAGGTGTCCACGTCCGTGGATGTTTGGGGATCAATATTTGTCAATCCTCATTGTAGATGCTCTCACTACGCGATCTATTGCTTCGTCACCTATACATATCATCCACAACAAAGAGGCGGCGGTGGGTCGTTTCCAGCCATATTCAAGCTAAATGTAAATGAATTAAGCTACACAAATTGTAACTATATATATTGAATAGTACAGAATTACAGAAAAACAATTAGTAAATGTGTAGAATTACTAAAAATATACTCTAAAATCTATAGAAATACTAACCTTTAATAAAAAATCTACAGAATTACTAAAACATATCTATGTAATTACTAAACAGTATCTATAAAATCTGTAGAAATACAAAATATAATATAAAATGTATAGAACTACTCAAAATATTACTCCCTATGATTCATATTAATTGTCGGTTATTTAGTATAAGTTTGTATTAAATATGGATGGGGGGTACTATAAAAGCTAAAAATATATTAAGTTCATTAAATTTTCAGCATGACATTTAATAAATATGGAATAGTGAAAAGGGAACCAAGTCCAATTGCAATCCTAAGGTAATTAAAACCCAGAAGTTGCAGTGTATGTTTCTAGTCCGTGAGTCAAAGGCTTGGCGCGAGTTAGACTCACGTACTAATCGCAAGTGAAGGACTGATCCTTTAACGCTGGTACTGATACGAGACTGGTACTTAGCGTCTTCGAGCAACATATAGACTTAAGGTTGCCCATCACTTCCTTGCTCCATTTGAAGGCCCATAGCTCCCTTTTTTTCATGTACTAGCAAAAGGGCCTATGCGTTACAAGGGAATAATAAAATCATGGTCTTCGAATTAAGTTTCAAATATTCATACCCCATGTATATACATGTATTTGAATATCTGCGCACCATTGATCGATGTTGGATTTGATCATTGATGCATGTTTTGTTACCGAGTACATCCTTGATGCATGTATGAGAAGGAAAAGAAAATGTTAATCTTATGATGGATGAAAAACTAGAGGGCCCTATGACATACGAACGCTCGTTTTTTCACTTTTACGGGTGGTAGGGTGGGTAATTTACCTCAACTTCAGGAGCAGTTTCGATGACAGACGAAAACTTCAGAAAAACAATTAACGAAGAGTTTTTTCACTGACGGGGTGGTTAATTTACTTCAACTTTAAGGGCAGTTTCGATGACAGACGAAAAAAAAAATCAAAGAAACAATTAACAAAGATTTTTTTCACTAACGGGTGGCGTGGTGGGTAATTATTTCAATTATAGGGGCAGTTTCGGTGACAGATGAAAAAAAAATCAGAAAAACAGTTAACGAAGTCTTTTTCACTTAAGGTGGCATGGTGGGTAATTTACTACAATTTTATGGGCAGCTTAGGGTAGGTGGACTGATCAAAGATCAGAGAAACGTATCATCCTTTATTATTAGGTATATGTTTAACACTTGGAGAAGACATGTTAGTGCAACCTCACACAATTGAAATGTTACTTAAACGTAGTTCTAGGTCATCCCTAATAGATCAAAGATATTTCAAATCGTGTCAGGTTGTGGTTTTGGAGATTGCTTACCGACTTTCATTCATATTTGAAAACATCATGGGTGCCAAAGCCTTCATTGACCCAAATAAAGAAGCTAACACAGACAAGATGTGGATGATCGAGTTAACATATTGACTACGTACCATGCCACCAGGCGGTTGGCCTTCATGTTGAGTCTTCCCCCGCGGCCAACCCGATGTAAAAAACAAAGGAGAGAACCCCCTATCTCAGTCTCCTTCCTCTTTTCAGAAGAGTAGCCAAAAAGATGGAGTTACCATATGATGAGATTTAGTTCAAAGGATATGAAGTGCTAGAAATGTGGAAAAACATTAATGAATCAACATTTCGCAAAAACATTGTCACTCGTGCATATACCCTCAGAATTAAACACACAATGTGAACTTCATAATGAGCAACGCCTCGGCTATATGGCCACCACCACAACACACGAGGATATTGTTACTAAACTATCTAGTTTGTCATTTTTGCACATGACATAAATTGTTTGTTCTCTCATGATTGTCGATGCAAGTCAAGAGTTTTTAAAGCATGAACAAATTAGTTATATTTTTTCAAGATTGACTTTTCATATGTGAACTTCATAGTAAGCATGCACAGGACCTATATTTTTTCTCATACGATCTTAAAAGGATTGGGTTCCACTCTCAAAAGATAATGGAACAAAAAAAATCCATGTGCAAGTTAAACAAACAAGAATTAACAGTCGTAGAATATAACAACCAATAGCAAAAGCAGACCAGGGGACCTACAAAGTTTTTTGTTCTTCAATAAGCAACA